TGTGTGTGTGCCAGCCATTATCCCCTTGATAGGGGAGTGTGATTAGTGTCATGGTGACCAGAGCCCATAATGGATGTTGAGCAAGTCCTCCTCTTTGCTCTCTGGGACGCCCTGTCAGGGGCAGGGTCTGCTCCCCAGTTGTTGTAGTGCAGATCCCCAGATCTGGTTCTAAGCTGTGGTGTGAAGTAGGCAGGACTGGAGTGCTCCCTCTGGGAGAGGAGCCACTGCATGTTCCTCCCCAGGAGCTGCCTGCCAGGACGTGGGATTCTGTGATGCCGCCTGCCACCCGGTGTGTGCACCCACAAAGATCAGTGTTGCTGGCGCTGCCCTTTGGGCCCACCTCCTCTTGGGGGCCCTGGTAATAAGTTCAGAGCATACATGCTCACCAAGCCACCAGTGCATAAACCCACTGGAGCTGCATCCCCTGAACCCACAGTCAGCCCAGGGTGCCCTCAGGCACGCAAGTGCGGTTCCAGTGAAAAGTCCACCAGAGCAGGAACCTGCCAGAGCTGCATCCCAGCAACCACAGTGGGATGGCCAGCTATCAGTTCAGCTTTCAGCCCCACCTCCACATGCACACGTCTCCAGTTATGGTCTGGACCATGCTCCAGACCCTTTGGTCTGTCTCCATGCAACCAAACCGAGTCCTCTCCTTGGGACTGTCTGCTGAAGCCTGTCTGCTGAAGCCTGAGTTTCAGCACCCAGTCGCTCTGCACACCAGCAGGCGCACATCTTGGGCTGGGAAGTGTGGTGATGTGGTCAGGACCTTCTGTGTTGGTCTCTCCGTACCCTGCAGTGCCTCAGGCCAACTCCCATACCCTCCTCTTCAGCCTCTGAAGTTCCCTATCTGTCCTGGCATACCTCCCAGCTGGTGAAGGAGGTTCCCACGGTGAGGTTAGCATTCTTCCTTCACAGCTCCCTCCCAGGGGTGCAGGTCCCATCCCAATTCCTCCTCTTCTCCCTTTTCCCTTCATCCTACCCATTACATGGGGATCTTTCTTGAAGCTTTGGTTGTATGAGATCCAGTGGGTGTTCTGTGAGAACTATTCCACATGTGGATGGATTTTTTGATGTATTTGTGGGAGGAGGTGAGCTCCACATCCCTCTACTTATAAAGGGGAAAAAAATGAGGCAGTGGAAAGCACTATGGTCATCACCAACACTAAAATTAGTGATTGTCATTTTGTAGAATAACTACATTGACTATAACAGTGAATATACTAAATGATATATGTCAACTCACCTATTTTTCATCACAGTCCTCTTAGGTAGGTGGTATTATCCTCATTTTACAGCTAAAGAAACCAGGTAAGTGAAGTTAAGGTCACACCGTTGTAACTTCACACAGGTGAAGTTGCCAAGATCACATGGCAGGTAAGTCACAAGACTTTAACTCAAGATTTTATGTTCTTACTCGATAGTAAGAGTAATCTCCAAGTTGAGTTCTCTGAGAACTCACTGTAGTTGTGATTTGCATTTTGCTAATACTTAGCAATACTGTCCAGGCTCTTCTTTCCATGTGTCCTGGCTCCTTTTTGTCTTATGCTCCATCACCCCTGGTAGTGCTCTCATTTGCAAAGTTCAGTGACTCACTACCACCCCACATTCCAGAAGAAGAAAGGGGAAGGTGTGGGAAAGCCCTTTCCCTTTAGGGACACGACCCCTAGGGTTTTACACACCATTTTCGCTCACACTCTATTGGCCACACTTGGTATCTTAGCTGCAAAGACGACTGGGAAGTCAGTCCTTATCCTGAGCAGCCACAAGCCCAGGTAAACCCTAATACTATAGAAAAAGGGGAGAAAGAGGTATTGGGAGACATCCAGGGAACCTCTGCCACAAGGGTGCATGCTTCTATTACAGCACTCTTCTGGTATTTCCTACCTCACTTGTACAGAGACTAGAGATGTGGCCTTGAGAAAACAGGAGGAAGTGTAACAAACTGTTTCCAGGTTGGGATTACTTTAGAGTCATCAGGCTAGAAGGAAAAGGTAAGGCTGTGTGTAGTCCCAGAAAGTGAGAGAAATGTTGGCTTTGGGAATTCCAGAATGCAGACTCTGAAATTCCCCTCCTAAGGTTAGAATCCCAGCTCCACATTGCTGTGTGACTCTGTGACTTTCTTAATCTCCATGTATGAAATGCTGTACCTCTTTTCATACAGCTGTGGTGAGAATTAAGCAGTAATACATGTAAAGGACTTGGTACAGATCACACACATAGTAAGTGCCCAATAAATGTTGACAAATGTTTTTACTACAGATTGAAAGCCTATTGGAAACCACAGAGAAACTAACAATAATGACTAATGACTATAAAGGTTATGAAAAGGATAGGTAAACCATTTTTGAACACTTCCTTACAGGCCTTTGAGCAGCCTAAACTGGTCTTAGCAATCAAATGCACTCGTGTCAGGGCAAACTGGTCCTGATGATACTGGGCCAAAATGGCCTGTCCATGTAAGGTACTTGCCAGGGCCTAGAGATGGGCAGTCTGGGGTATGGTTGGTAGGAAGGCTGATGCCAGTGAAGCAAGCTCAAAGCCAGCAATCAGATCTTCAGAGAGAGGCAGAAACTAGATAAGTGCCCCAAGAGAGTCACACGTCTTTGCTAGCTCAAGGAAGAAAAGGGTGGGGTAGGAAAAGTGAGGGAATCGAAGTCAGAACTGAAATGAAATGCCATGGTGGTTCTTTGGTCAGCAAAGTCAAGGGAAAAGAGAAAAAAGAGAAAGAAGAAAGAATAATAAAGCCACATATTTTTCATCCTGTCCAGTCAACCTCATCTCTGTTATTCCTTTCTTATAAGGCTTGCAAGACAAAACAATGGTTGAATTCCAAAGCAGATTATTTAAATGTATATTTTTGGCAAACATGCGTTACGGTGTTTTTTCTTTTTACGAAAGCTGATTTTCATTTTATGTAAACTTCCCTGGAGATATTTGGTTGTTATTGTAAAAAGTTGTCCTTTTCTAAAACTTACTTACTTGTCTTTGTCTCCTAAGTTCAGATTTTTTAAAACTCAAGTCATTTGACATACACATGGCCAATAGGCACATGAAAAGATGCTCAACATCGCTAATCATTAGAGAAATGCAAATCAACACTGCAATGAGGTACCACCTCACACCCGTCAGAATGGCAACATTTGTAGTGAGGTGGATGGACCTAGAGACTGTCATAGGGTAAAGTAAGTCAGAAAGAGGAAAACAAATAACCATATGCTAACACATATATATGGAATCTAAAAAAAAAAAATGGTCATGAAGAACCTAGGGGCAGGACGGGAATAAAGACACAGACCTACTAGAGAAGGGACTTGAGGACAGGGGGAGGTGGAAGGGTAAGCTGTGACAAAGTGAGAGAGTGGCATGGACATATATACACTACCAAACGTAAAATAGATAGTGGGAAGCAGCCGCATAGCACAGGGAGATCAGCTTGGTGCTTTGTGACCACCTAGAGGGGTGGGATAGGGAGGGTGGGAGGGAGACCCAAGAGGGAGAAGATATGGGGATGTATGTATATGTATAGCTGATTCACTTTGTTATACAGCAGAAACTAACACAACACTCACTGTAAAGCAATTATACTCCAATAAAGATGTTAAAAAAAAATGCAGACACAATAAAAAAAAATCTACAAATAACAAATGCTGGAGAGGGTCTGGAGAAAAGTGAACTGTCCTACACTGTTAGTTGGAATGTAAATTGATGCAGCCACTGTGGTAAACAGTATGGAGGTGCCTTCAAAAAACTACAAATAGAGCTACATATGATCCAGCAGTCCCACTCCTGGGCATATTCCCAGACAAAACTATAATTCAAAAAGATACATGTACCCCTATGTTCATAGCACTATTCACAATAGCCAAGACGTGGAAACAACCTAAGTGTCCATCAAGAACTGAATGGATAGGGCTTCCCTGGTGGCGCAGTGGTTGGGAGTTTGCCTGCCGATGCAGGGAACACGGGTTCATGCCCCGGTCCAGGAAGAGCCCACATGCTGCGGAGCAGCTGGGCCCGTGAGCCATGGCTGCTGAGCCTGCACGTCTGGAGCCTGTGCTCCGCAACGGGAGAGGCCACAACAGTGAGAGGCCTGCATACCGTTAAAAAAAAAAGAACTGAATGGATAAAGAAGATGTGGTATAAATACACAATGGAATACTACTCAGCCATAAAAAAGAATGAAATAATGCCATTCGCAGCAACATTTACTTCATACTAAATGAAGTAAATCAGAGAAAGACATATATGATACCACTTATATGTGGTATCTAAAATATGACACAAATGAACTTATTTACCAAGCAAATACAGACTCACTAACACAGAACAAACTTGTGGTTGCCAAGGGAGGAGAAAGGTGGAGGAGGGATGGATTGGGATGCAAACTATTAAATATAGAATGGATAAACAAATAAGATACTAGTGTATAGCACAGGGAACTATATATATTCAATATCCTGTGATAAACCATAATGGAAAAGAATGTGTGTGTGTATAGCTGAATCACTTTGCTGTACAGCAGAAATTAACATTATATATCTATACTTCAATAAAATAAATTTTTTTTAAAAAATCATTTGAAAAGTTGGGAGAAAAGCTATACCTACACTAGTAAAAGGGTACTCTCTACAGAAAGTAAAAGAAATATAATTCTATTATGAAGCCATAATAGAACTTCTAATAATCTTTATAACTAGACCTTTTGATTACTGTGTTATCTTATATTGTAAAGTTTATGTCAATACTTGCAAAATTAACTACTCATAAATCTAGAGTTTTGACTTGCCTACATAAATATATAAAAAGTATATTGGGAGGGGGAATACAACTGAGTCCATGTAATTTTAATCCGTTTGACATTATACATTTCTGCCTTCAGAATTGGAATAACAGCATGTCTGAGTAATTCTGAGAAGAATTTATAGATTTACATTTATATCAATTTAAAAAGAAAAGAAAAATCAAGCAGGTTTATTTAAAGTTATTTCACTGATTAGTACCTTTTCACAAAAACTCCCCCAGAAGACACCTTTTTCTTCACTCGCCTCTTCTCTTTGCTTGACTCACAAGGAGGGTCATCTTCCTAAAAAGAAAAAGAGAACCAAATAAGATTTCTATGCTAGACACATTTTCGTCTCTCTACGTTACTGTTCCAAAAGAAAAAATTTAACCATGACAACATTTTCAACTCTGGTTTACATTTCTTTTAGAATTTTGTGTAAATACTTACATCAGAAGCACCAGTTCATATTGTGCTGATTCATCAGACTGGGAGGCACCTTGAGAAATCATCCAGTCCTACCTTTACCTCATACACCCCCCACACAGAACACCTTGTTGTTTCTGCTTCTATTTTAGACCAACATTTTACAACATATTACTAAACAAAATAACACAAAGCATTAGCATGGCATCCTCTGGATTCTTTGCAAGCCCCATTCTGTTAGGAATCACATTTCCTGGATCCTGTGTTTCCTTCTCTGTTCACAAAACACCCCTCAACTGCTCTTGTCTCTTTCACTTTGCCCTGCCACACACTGTTTCTGAATATTTCTCATCCGCTGTGGTACTCTCAGTACCTAGCACAGAAGATTCTCAATAAATGCTCTGGGAAGGAGTAAGAGAGGACTAGAAACACAGTGGATACTCACTAGATGTCAGTCATCTTTGAATAATTCTTCTAGTCAGAAAAGTGCTCTGCACCCAGTTGGGCAGGACAGATCTGAATGCAGGAGTTTCAGGAACATCACAAGGCCACATGTCCATCAGGAGAGCCCCTGGCTGGAGGTAGGATTCCCCAAGGTGTTCCCACCTACACCTTTGCTAATGAGGTCAGTCAGCTTAACTCATAGAAGTGTGTGAACATAGAAGCAAACTGCTGTTTTTCCAACACCACCCAGGAAAACAGAACCACACACGTTCCCTCCCCCTTGAGAGAGGAATAGATGGGGAATCTGCTGGCCCTCCCATATAGTGGCCAGGCACTGGTGAGCATAGGGCAACATGATGGTCCCTTCTCCTGAAAAAGCTTACCAACCAGTCTGAAGACCAGTAACAACAAACCTTTTACTGGGGCTTAGTATATGGTACCCACTGTATTTCATACTTTACATATATAACAAGGTGAAATAGGTTGTATTAACAACATTTTATAGATACAAGGACAGAAGTCAAAGACATTAATCAACTTTTCCCAAGGTCACAAAACTAAGTAAATGGCAGGATTCAAATCCAAATTTTGTCCAACACCAAAGTTCATGTTGTAACCATTCCTCCATCCTGTCTTCCAGCAAAAAATTGCTCATTCAGTTCCTAAAACTACACTGTATACTGTGCTACAGCTATACAAAAAGGAATGAGATCTGGTTCCCACTCAGGAGTCTGTGGTGGAATAGCAGATATAAAAGAGGTGCTCAGTTCACTCCCCAGCTTTCAAGAGGTCTTCAAGATCATTAGGGGTTGAATGCAAAAATGTCTATGAAAGAACACTGAGGTAGGGCAGGAGTTTATTAACCTCATCCAACTAGATAGATAGAATTAGAGAAAGAATATAGAAAATGTAGGAAAAGAGAGGAAGCTACTTGTCAGAGGTAGCCAATTTTCTAGTGCTTAATAGAGTTACCAGACTTTCAGAAACAGTTAATATTTATTTTCCTTTACTTTTTATATATGCTAACTCCTGAAGGAGTTTAAACAATCCCAGATACTCTAGAAATAGTGGTCAAATACCAAAGCATCTACTAACATCAAATATGTACGTTGTTCTACCAAACCAAGCAAGCCTTACTGTAAACTAGTTCAAAAGAAAATATGTGCTTGGCACTCAACAGGCCTCCAGTAAGTGTTCGTTGAAAGTTCCAAACTTCCAAATTCCAGAAGTTTCTGCATTTGGGGAACATTCTTCACCAAGATTAGTCATTTCCTCATCATAAATTATAGACAGAAACATATTTCTCCCTAATATGTGTTTTCTCCCAAACTCAGGAAAAGAGAACTGCAATACTGAGATATTAAACACATGATTCATGGTGCTTAGACACCTAAAGCAATTCTAAGTGTAAATTAAACCACCACCCCTATGTGAAAATGTATATATTTTAAATATTAACCGGTTTCCATCTGAAAGAATTTACAGGTTTGTTGAAGAGATTAATAATACTGCGTGAAACTGTTGACAGGTTATGTGTCTACAAATTATTGCCTGGGTATATGGAATTCTTGTTTTTAAAACAATTTCATGCAATCTGATAAGTTTTGGGAAGCATACACAACTAAAGGGAGATAAATCCCACTTTGATTACCAGAACAGTCTCTTATCAGAGTGTCAAAGCAGTAACCAATAGAGAAAGAGAGAAATCACAAACTTCTAGAACTTCCTTAGACTAACAGCTCAGATTGGATAAACTCACTTAAGCCCTCAGATTGCTCCAAGGACCCTTACAGGCTCACAGGCTAGGATGTCAGAGGACAGGGAGAAGCCCAGCAGAGATAGAAAACAAGGGTAAGTTAAACACAGAAGTATTCATAGAATATTACCAGTTCCAGGTTGGCTGTTCTTGATTAGCAAGCATGGCCCAAAGCTTTAGACCAACGACTTCTCGAATGATACTGGTTTTGGAGATGGAAGCTATGAGGAGTTCAGTGCTGCATCAATCTGTAGACAGACATCTCTACCAAAGCTATTATAGTTCCCATCTAGTTTACGTTTTTTAAGTAAACATTTTTATTTAAGTACAATACACCTATCAAAGAGCACCCCCAAAAGTGTACAGTGTGATGAATTTTTACAAAGTGAAAACACCCAATGTGACCACAACTGAAATCAAGAAATTGAACAAGAAACTGAACATTACCTGTATCCCAGAATCATCCATTTGCCTCCTCCCAGGCACTATTAACTTGATTTATTTTACATATTTTGGGACTGCATGGTATCATACTGTAGTTTTCTTTTGCTCAGCATTATGTTTGTGAAATTGACCCATAGTGATGTGTAGAGCAGTAATTCATACATTTCCATTGCTTTATAATATTCCATTGTATGATTATACCAAAATGTATTTATTCTTACTGTTGATAGAATTTTTTATCCAGTTTGGGGGATATTTATAATAATGCTAATATGAATATTCTTGTTCATGTCTTTTGGTATCCATCTGTGTACATCAAGAGACATGTACTCATTGCACTGGGAACTGAGTCACAGATGTGTATATGTTCAGCTGTACTCAATATGGCCAAACAATTGTCCCAAGTGATTCAAATCAATTTACACTCCACCAGTGGTGAATAAGAGTTCCACTTGCTCCACATCCCCATCAATACTTGGTAATGTCTGTTTTGTATTGTTTTAGCCATTTTGGTGGTATACTGACATCTTGTTGGGTGTTAATTTATATTTGTGATAACTAATAATTCTGGTAACACTTCTGAGTACATTTTCATGTTTATTGGCCACTTGTATATCTTATGTTGTGAAGCGCCTGATCATGTCTTGCCCGGTTTTTTACTGGGTTGTCTGTATTTTTCATACTGGTTTGTGTAAGTTCTTTGTGCTTTTGGATAGAAGGAAGGAAAATAAGGAAAGAGATATATTTTCCTACTCTTTGGCTTGCCTTTATTAATGTTGTCCTTGATAAAGTGAAGTCTTATTTTAATAAAGTCGAATCTATCAATCTTTTTTCTACCCCAAGGTCACAAAGATATCCCACTGTGTTATCTTTTGGAAGCTTCATCACCTCAACTTTGTATTTAAGACATATCTTGAAATAAATGTTTGAATTACTGTGTATAATTCCAGTATAAGTAACATTTTATCAAATTACTATAAATTTTATATTTAAATTTTCATAAATAAATTCACTTATTTGAAGACCTAACATCAAAAATTTTAAAGACCGGGCTTCCCTGGTGGCGCAGTGGTTGAGAGTCTGCCTGCTAATGCAGGGACACGGGTTCAAGCCCTGGTCTGGGAGGATCCCACATGCCGCGGAGCAACTGGGCCCGTGAGCCACAACTACTGAGCCTGCGAGTCTGGAGCCTGTGCTCCGCAACAAGAGAGGCCGCGATAGTGAGAGGCCCGTGCACTGTGATGAAGAGTGGCCCCCACCTGCCACAACTGGAGAAAGCCCTCGCACAGAAATGAAGACCCAGCACAGCAAAAATAAATAAAATTAATAAACTCCTACCCCCAACATCTTCTTTAAAAAAAAAAATTTTAAAGACCAATTTTTCAAACTAAATCTTCTCATAAGCACAGTGAGTGAGCTGGAAGGGCAAAGGGGCTATACTGGCAGTTAACAAGTGTCACTAAAAGGGGGTTAGGCAGTTAGGTTCAAATCATGGCTGCCCATCTAACAAGCTGTGTGACTTTACGCGAATTCCTTATTTTCTCTGAGATTTGGTTTGTTATTTGTAAAATGAAGAAAATAACATCTGCCAGATATAAAGTTCCTGGCACTGAGCGCAACACATAGCAAGTACTCAGTAACTGTTCATGATGCTATTAGTCAAGGCAAGTTAGATCTCACAGAATTTAAATGTTCAGTGCTGTGTGTAAAGTAGCCAATTGAACTATAATACAAATGATGAGGTGCCCTCAGAGCAGTACAAAGTGCTTGCTGAAAGGAGGACAGATCATTTGTGGTCAGGGGGGTTAGGACAAGGTTGATGAACAAGATGGTTCCTAAAGAGGATTTTGAGAGGCAGAGTTGACAGAAAGGCTTCAAGGTATATGGACAAAACGAGCAAAGGCTTGGGGGTTGGAAAGTGTGGGGCAAGTTCAGAAAAGGTAAGTGACGTGTAGGAGAATAGAAAATAAGGCTGGTGAAGTGGGTTAATGCAGGCTGAGACAATATGTGAGAAAGCACTATAAAAATGTATTATCAAAACCAGTTATTATTATAAAAAACCTATTTAAGTGCATTATGTCAGACTATCCTAGGAATTTTTTTTCTGGCTAAAAATTACGCTCTTGCAGATTCTTTTATAGGGGAAAAAGTCATGCAATCATAGGTCCTTACCAGAAGGTGGCAGGAGAGATTTAGTCAAAGAGCTTGAAGCCTCTATATAAATGAGCACTGAATCAAAAGTTCATTTTATTTATACTTTACATATTTAGACTCCACAATAAACTAATTCCTCCTCCTTTCAGATGCATAGGGCTACACACATTTATCCACTGACTGTTTATACAACTCAAATGTAGAAAATTGAAAGAAAGGGAAAAAAAGAGAAGGATATGAGGAAGGGAGAATACCATGAATACTAGTAGACAGAAAATACCTCAGGAGTTCTACACAGTATTTCATCTAACATCAATACCATCCCATGAGGTAGGTGTTATCCTCATTTTAAAGATGAGGAAATTGAGACCCAGAAGCTTTTGCAGAACAGAAAATAAGCAGCTGCCATTAGAGGTCAGTGACATTTGCTCATTTACAAAAACTCGTGTAACCTACAGCAGGACCGCAAAAAACGATGGGCCCAGAGTACAGGGACCTCGAGTCAGCGCTCCTGAAAGCTACACATTGTTGGTAGAGAGCAAGGTCTTAGGAAGGATGTGCTCTATTAGTGTATGACATCAAACCACCCTGGGAACAGACATTTCTGGGCAAGAAAAGAATAATTTTTTTTTTTTTTTTTTTTTTTTTTGCAGTACGCGAGGCTCTCACTGCTGTGGCCTCTCCCGTTGCAGAGCACAGGCTCGGGACGTGCAGGCTCAGCGGCCATGGCTCACGGGCCCAGCCGCTCCGCGGCATGTGGGATCCTCCCGGACCGGGGCACGAACCCGTGTCCCCTGCATCGTCAGGCGGACTCTCAACCGCTGCGCCACCAGGGAAGCCCAAAGAATAATTTTAAATAGCTAAAAACCAAAAATTTTCTATGTAGACCATCAATCTGGATTGACTCAAAAGGCGTGCAGCTCGGGTGATCTCCAAAAGATCTAGGCAGCTAGCTAGCGAAGAACAATGTATGTTCTTGCCTCTGAGGAGACTAGAATAGGCAGAGTTCCTGCCACAAGGTGGAGAGGGAGCGGATCTGGAGTGTCAGTGGTAGTTTATAAAAGGTGTATGTCCGCTAGCCAACACCACATGACTGCCCCAGCCAGCCTCTCCATACTAAAGTGTCCCCAGAGGCTAAACATGGTATAAGATGGTCACTGCAAAAATGAAGATAATGGATTATGATGATTATTTCTATCCCTTGGAAAATTAAGCACTGGTGAGATACCAAAACCCAGAGAAAGTGAATTTGTATACAGAAATACACACGTTTGCAGATGAACAGAATGTTGTCTAATATGAGACCAAACCATTAATAGCGGCTTCCTCTGGAGAGTGGAACTTGATATGGGGAGGAGCGTCTGCCCTGTTTTTAACATTTTACAATAAGCACATATATTAATACTTTTTAAGTGGTTATTAAAGAGACTAATGATTAGTTTGTACAAAATAAAAAGAAGCCAGGAAGTTTTTACTGTATATCATATTTGAGGTGATGTAGATCTGGAACAAAATTAACTTACCCAAGAGGACTGAAGAAAAAAATTCCCTATGGAAGGAAAATATGAAACGTACCTGAATCCCTACATTATGTCACATGAACTGTCCACAAAGGCCACATCTTCAGAGCAGGGGAGAGTGAGGGCCAAAGTTTCCCTGGTGAGCTTTCTGCCTGCTCTACTGAGACTGGATGGCCTGAAATGCAAGCACCACTGGGGGTTTCTTGCTGTCACTTTCACTCTATTTTCTATACTCCACCTGCTTTTCTTCATTTGTTCTTTGTTATCTGTTTCTCATGTCAGTTTCTTTTTAGAGCAGTTTATTTTAGATATTTAGAATTAAAACATACATACTCCATAGCTGTCTCAGAATTCTTATTGATTACTCTGCTTATAAAATTTTTTTCCTTACATGATACAATAATAATAAAACTTACTGCACACATATGAACCAGGTTGCTATTCCAACTGATAGATAGGTAGGTACATAGACAGACACATATGTATGTGTATGTATATATAGTTTTATAGAGTAATGTATGTGTGTGTGTATATATATATGTATGTGTATATGTATATTCCTTTACTCCTTACTCCTAGAAAATATGTTATTAACTCCAATTTACAAATAAGGCAAAGAGAGGTTAAATGACTTGTCCAAACCAAAAAGGGCTGCAGCCAGGATTCAAACCCAAATAGCCCCCTCCAAAGCTGGTACTTTTAGCTACTCTTGTATACTACTTCTTGAGAAAGATAAATGTGTTAAGAAGGATACCAACCACAGCCGCAAAGTTGGGAACCTGAGTTTTTTCCAGCATCTCCCTGAGTTGATCCACCTCTGCTCGATACTCATCCAGCTGACATTCTAATTTTTCTCTGCGTAGTCGTTCATACTCTAGGTGGCCCTGCAGCTCTTTGATAGTCCTGTCAAAAAAATTTGGTTTCAATCAATCTCCAATATCAACTAGCAATTATTTTTGGTAATAGTGAAAAGTATCCATACATTATATTTAAGGCAAATAAAACAAAGAAAGCATTTTTTCAACAAATATATACTGAGAGTGTACTATGAGCCAGCACTGATCTATACATACTGGAGATAAAAGCAGTGAACAAAACAGGCCAAATCTACCCTTGTGGGGCCTACCTTGGCAGCAGTGGTGGAAGACAGTAAAATAAGTAAATATATGTATTTCAATATAAGTAAGTAAATATACGTATGTTGGAAGGTGATAAATGCTAAGGGAGAAAAAAAGCAAGAAAATAATAGAAATGTTGTTGAGGAGGGGGTTAATACCCCATACACAATGACCAGGAAAGGCCTTACTGAGAAGGGGGCTTGTGAGCAAAGTCCAAAAGGAAATAAGAGATAATCAAGTAGACATCTGGGGTACGAGCATCCCAGACAGAGAGAATAGCAAGTGCAAAGGCCCTAAGGCAGAAGAACACCTGGTGAACTCGAAGAAAGAAGCCAATGTGGCTGGAGTAGAGTCAGAGAGGTAAAAGGGAGCCAGAACAAGTAGGGCCTGGTAAGTCGCAACAAGGACTCGGCTTTTACTCTGAGTGAAATGGGAAGCCATTAGAGGATCTCAACAGAGAAACGGCATGCTCTAACTTAAATGTCTTTTGCTTTGTTTAGCTTTGTTTTTTTTAATGATGTAAAGTTTACTTTGAGTGAATTACACAAATATCAACTAAACAATTCAATGAGTTTCCACTAATGCATCCACCATGACTACCAAGATACAAAATACTTCCATCATCTCAGAAAGTTCCTTCATGCCCTTCCCAGGCAACCCTCACTTCGCAGAGGTAACCACACTTCTGAATACCTATCGTGTTAGATTAGTTTTGTCTCTGCTTGTAAATGAAGTTGTACATTATATTCATTTGTGTGCCTGGCTTCTTTCAGTCAACAATATGTGAGATTTATCTGACTTAGGTTTTAGCATGATGAACAGACTGCAGGGGATGAGGGTGGGGGGTGAGGGAGCAGGGACAGGAAGTTGGGAAACATATCAGGAAGATGTTAAAATATACCCAGACAAGTGATGCTAGGACTAGAACCAGGGTTTCTTTCTGCCTTATTGCTGGATGGTGAGGGCACCAGAACTCCCAAGGCATGTTGAGTTGGATGTCAGGTCTGAAGGAGGGCAATCTAAGAGTATACAGTAGTAGTCCTGGTATGGAAGTGAGTGGGGTTGAGGTTGGAGATAGGAAAGAAGAACATTAACTGTGGAAACCTAGAATTCAGCAAATGAGAAGAGAAAATCAGCCCCAGGACAGAATAACACAACCACGTTTTGCTGTATTCTGGGTTTCATCTAACCAATCAATAACGACAAAGGCAAAAGGACATCTCTCAAACTAATACTTATCCAGGTTTCCTTTACAATTAGATATAAGATCAGGAGTTTGTACCCAAAGAATAAATGTCTTCAGATGTACTCAACACAAAGTGAGAAACACATACTAGAGAAGAAGTAAAGCTTACTCAGAGGAAACACTGCAGTCTCAGCTAATAAGAAACTACAATCTGGCACAAAGGCTAAAGCAATCTTTATTAAAAAAAAAAAATCCTGCTCAAATGACTTACATCAATACAATAACCATTTCACACTGAAATGTGAACATTAGAATTAAACATTCCATTAAAGACTATTATTAACATTGTAATGACCTTGGATAATAGGTTTGGAGTCATATAGACTCAGACACAAATCCTGGCTCCACCCCCCACGCTTAGTCCTCCCTTTGTGACTTCATGCGAGTTACTTGTAAATTCAGTCTTGGTTTCCTAATCCACGTACCGAGATAATAGCTAATGGAGCTGTGAAGACTGCATGAAACAATATATACAAGAGGCTTATACAGTGCCTACCATACAGTAGTGCTCAGAAGTACTACAAGCATCCCTAGCAGTAGTACAGTAATATGTCTTGGAAGAGAAGTAAAGGGAGCAAAATTTAAAGCTCATTATCTAGGAAATAATTGCTCTACTGTGAAGTACTTTTCTAGACTACAAGGGAGCTAAGAACTTTCGGCTAGGTTCTTAGGCAGAGGCCAATACTAAAAATATTCTACATCTCAAACACTTTAATCAATACAGAGGCAGTCAGGAATTCCCTGGCGGTCCAGTGGTTAGGACTCCACGCTTCCATTGCAGGGGGCACGGGTTCAATCCCTGGTCAAGGAACTAAGATCCCGCATGCTGTGCAATGCAGCCAAAATATACATACCTACATACATATATATAGAGAGAGAGAGAGAAAGAGAGAGGCAGTGGACAGCTACTTATGTGATGTGATTTATGAGATACCAAGAAGGCCCCTGATTAAAAAAAAGAAAATTTCTTTTTGGTCTACCACAACTTCCTAGTGCCTAAAATCCCATTAAGAGACAGAGTATTTTGGCTTAAGATTTTGTCTTCTGTTCAAACTCCCAAGTACCCATCTTATCAAAGATTTAGATGTTACTCTGAATACATTTACCAGACCTCTTACTGAGATTAAATTCAGAAGAGGGTGAATGCAAGAGAAACAGGAGGTTCTAAGAGTATGAGGGAAAGAGACCCAACCAAAGGAAAGGACCGGGGAAGTGGAGAATCCATGTGCACTGCTCTTTACAGACCCGTGTTTTGATTAAACTACAAGTCTCCCCTCCTGTCTCCCTGTGTTCCCTGTCCACTGTGGAAAGCAGAGACAAGCAAAGAGGCAGTGGGAGGAAATAAGCACTTGGCATCCTCTATCCCAGCAGCCATTAATTAACTAGAGAGGTACCATATGTACCGAGAGCCAATTTCAGGTGCAGGAAGTGAAAGGTGAAGAATATGCAAGCGTTCTGAGGGGTGCCACTGTCTGTGAACATAGGACTAGGTTGGTGACTTGTGAGCAAGCAGTCCAATTCGATAGGGATGGCTAGAGACTGTGTTGGTTGAAAAGCTCAAAGTAACTGTGGTCTCAAAAAAACAAAGGGGCTTCCCTGGTGGCGCAGTGGTTGAGAGTCCGCCTGCCAATGCAGGGGACACGGGCTCGTGCCCCGGTCCGGGAAGATCCCACATGCCGCGGTGCAGCTGGGCCCGTGGGCCATGGCAGCTGAGCCTGCGCGTCCGGAGCCTGTGCTCCGTAACGGGAGAGGCGACAGCAGTGAGAGGCCCGTGTACCGCAAAAAAAAAAACAGACAAAAAAACGAAAACAGGAACTCTTCTTAGCGTTTTAGTTTTGCGAGACAAAAAGTTCTGGAGGATGGTTGTACAAAAATGTGGAATGTACTTAACACTACTGAATTCTGCCTTAAAAGTGGTTAAGATATATGTTATGCTTATGTGTATTTTACCACAATTTTTTTTTAAGTTTTAAAAAATTTAAAAAAAATTTTTTTTAATTGGTGCACAAGTTTTTGGCACCACAACGAAGACCTGTGTTGGGTCTTTGTTGCTGCGCGCAGGCTTTCCCTAGTTGCGGCAAGTGGAGGCTACTCTTTGTTGCGGAGCACAGGCTTCTCACTACGGTGGCTTCTCTTGTTGCAGAGCACAGGCTCTAGGCACGCGGGCTTCAGCAGTTGTGGTGCACGGGCTTAGTTACTCCGCGGCACGTGGGATCTTCCCGTCCCAGGGCTCGAACCCATGTCCCCTGCACTAGCAGGTGGATTCTTAACCACTGTGCCACCAGGAAAGTCCCTTACCACAATTTTTTAAAAATCTTAACACCTTCTCCATCTGGGGGCTCAGGAGGAAAACAGGTTGGAAACTCACACCCTTTGGTGGGGATGAAAAAATAAGTTGTTAATCAACAAACCCTCACGTGGCATTTAGAAAGGTAAGTAAAAACAAACCATCAAAGTTTTGAGGACATTACTTTTCAGACTCAAGCTGTTCTTTCTTCTGCTTTAGATCTTCTTCTGTTATGCCTCCCAAGTGTTTATAGTTGCTCTCTGCAATTTCCAGGAGGTGTCTCAATTCTACAATTTTCTTATAAGCTCTCACTGCAAGATAGAGTTGAACAGGAACCTAGTTTAGACAGATAACAGCTCATGAGCTCACAGGATGCTGGTCCTGGAGCATACTCTTCCTCTAAAGCCAGTGTCTGCATGGTCAGTGTCTGTATGGTTCGGGGAAGGAGATGGAGGGAGGGTGGTGTCTATATAGAAGGACACATATCAGTAGCAGAGTATTAGGGTGAACAAGCAGTGAAATATCTAAATGGAGGATTCTGTTCCTGCTGTTGGAGGATATATCACTGTTATGACTATTAATACCAGGGAAAGGAAGGGAAGGGGAGGGGAGGGAAGGGGAGGGGAGGGAAGGGGAGGGGAGGGAAGGGGAGGGGAGGGGAGGGGAGGGAGGCTGGCTAGCAGTGTTTTAGGACTAGTTATATATTACAGGACCATGCACAATCTATTTATGTCAGAAAATTAGAAAAACTGAAATATGCTTGATTTATTTATGATAAATCAGAACTAATCCAGCCCCCCAATTTTATGATTAGTCACTTGTAATATCTAGGCAAGAGGATATTGAGAAAGAAGTGTGTTAAGAGCTACCTTGAGCTATTCTCCAGCTATCAAAACCATGATTTTTTCTATCCTTTGTGGTACAAGTTCTCAACCTGGGGTGATTTTCTCCTCCAAGGAACACTTGGCAATATCTGGAGACCTTTTACTTGTTAAACCTCGGGGGATGGAGGGAAACAGACTATTGGCATGTAGAGGCTCAGGATGCTACTAAATATCTTAAAATGCACAGGTGGGCCCCCCTCAACAAATACGTATCTGGCCCAAAATGTCAATAACACAGAAGCTGAGAAACTCTGCTTTACAACCAGGTTAGCAAATCACAGCCTCTTCTCCCTGACACTCACCACTCTGATTTATCTCTCAATAGGTTAGAGCTGCAGGTTCCAAACTACATACATCAGAATCAACTGGGGTACTTTTTAAAAATGTATATGTTTGAGCCCCATAGCAGTCCTACAAATTCAGGTATCAGTAGTTAGTAAAAGCTCCTCAGACAATTCAGACAGGTTTGGGATCCACCATAACTAATAGCAAACAAGTAGAGGGGATCTTTTTTTTAATGTTACATAAAATGGAAAGAATTGTAATGGTTTATTTAATTCTTTAACATTTGAAGGCTATGTTTTGAAAGGGCTGTTCTATGGGATCATCAGAGGTAAGAGCTAGGATTAATAGGGATTAGTTCCAGGAAGAAAGATCTTAACAAAGGCGAAACTTTTCAACAAAAACAGTTAAGAGGGTGGGAGGGAGGGAGACGCAAGAGGGAAGAGATATGGGAACATATGTATATATATATAACTGATTCACTTTGTTATAAAGCAGAAACTAACACACCACTGTAAAGCAATTATACTCCAATAAAGATGTTAAAAAAAAAAAACAGTTAAGAGCTATCATGTATTTGTGGAGTGCCTGTGATGGGAAGGACACTATGATAAGTGCCTTATACATTTACCCCTGTCAAAAGGTAGAAATGGGCCACATGGGTGATAGTGGGGGCCTTTTCACTGAAGGTGATTGGATGCTGGATGACATGTGACAGGAATGTTGAGCCAGGAGTCAAACCTCAAATGGGGTTCTATGATGCCATGACCCTAAACCTAATTCACTAAAGAATGCTCTGAATTGAGGCTCAGTTCCAAGAAGTCTGTGATGACAAGAAATCCAATCAGTCCCCCGTAGGCACTCTGGCAAAACCTAGTATTCCAAGAGACTGGCCAGTCCTTTGGATTTTGCCCTGGAATAAAATTAAATAGTCATGTCAAATAGCACATGACTTCATATATAGTACCTTCACTAGCTGCAAGCACCCCAGCTGGGCACCAGCCAGAGCCTCACTATATGGCAAGGCGGTAAGAGTGCATTTGTGTCAAACACACCACAGAAGGAAACTGTTCTAGCTTCGTTCTTGGTCTTTCCTTAAACATCTTTAAAAATTTTTGTGATTCACTGACAATGATCACTTCACAAAAATCTCCTACTCAACTAATTTCAGAAGACACTGAAATTCTACAAATCAACTGTTCATCTTCTGCAGTTCTAATAAGTCCTTGCTAATTCTCAGTACAATCAACAAAAAAGAAATTTAAGCACAAACAAAATTTTAAAATAGATAAAATGGATTGCATCAAAATTAAAAACTTGCACTGGCAAGGACATCATTAAGAAAGTTAGGATAAAAGACAGCCTCCTCAATAAGTGGTGCTGGGAAAACTGGACAGGTACATGTACAAGTATGAAATTAGAACACTCCCTAACACCATACACAAAAATAAACTCGAAATGGATTAAAGACCTAAATGTAAGGCCAGACACTATCAAACTCTTAGAGGAAAACATAGGCAGAACACTCTATGACATAAATCACAGCAAGATCCTCTTTGACCCACCTCCTAGAAAAATGGAAATAAAAACAAAAACAAACAAATGGGACCTAATGAAACTTAAAAGCTTTTGCACAGCAAAGGAAACCATAAACAAGACCAAAAGACAACCCTAAGAATGGGAGAAAATATTTGCAAATGAAGCAACTGACAAAGGATTAATCTCCAAAATTTACAAGCAGTTCATGCAGCTCAATATCAAAAAAACAAACAACCCAATCCAAAAGTGGGCAGAAGACCTAAACAAACATTTCTCCAAAGAAGACATACAGATTGCCAACAAACACATGAAAGGATGCTCAACATCACTAGTAATTAGAGAAATGCAAATCAAAATTACAATGAGGTATCACCTCACACCAGTCAGAATGGCCATCATCTAAAAATCTACAAACAATAAATGCTGGAGAGGGTGTGGAGAAAAGGGAACCCTCTTGCACTGTTGGTGGGAATGTAAATTGATACAACCACTGTGGAGAACAGTATGGAGGTTCCTTTAAAAATAGAACTACCATACATCCCAGCAATCCCACTACTAGGCATATACCCTGAGAAAACCATAATTAAAAACGAGTCATGTACTAAAATGTTCATTGCAGCTCTATTTACAATAGCCAGGACATGGAAGCAACCTAAGTGTCCATCATCAGATGAATGGATAAAGATGTGGCGCATACATACAATGGAATATTACTCAGCCATAAAAAGAAACGAAACTGAGATATTTGTAGTGAGGTGGATGGACCTAGAGTCTGTCTTACAGAGTGATGTAAGTCAGAAAGAGAAAAACAAATACCGTATGCTAACACATATATATGGAATCTAAGAAAAAAAAAAACAACAAGGTCATGAAGAACCTAGGGGTAAGACAGGAATAAAGACACAGACCTACTAGAGAATGGACTTGAGGATATGGGGAGGGGGAAGGGTAAGCTGTGACAAAATGAGAGAGTGGCATGGACATATATACACTACCAAACGTAAAACAGATTGCTAGTGGGAAGCAGCCGCATAGCACAGGGAGATCAGCTCGGTGGTTTGTGACCACTTAGAGGGGTGGGATAGGGAGGGTGGGAGGGAGACGCAAGAGGGAAGATATATGGGGACATATGTATATGTATAACTGAGTCACTTTGTTATAAAGCAGAAACTAACACACCATTGTAAAGCAATTATACTCCAATAAAGATGTTAAAAAAAAAAAAGTTAAAAGACAACCCACAGAATAGGAGAAAGTATCTGCAAATACTTATACTTGCAGATATAAGGGACTTATATCTGCAAGTACTCTTACAACTCAATAGTAAAAAGATAAACAACTCAGCTGAAAAATAGGCAAAGGATTTGAATAGACATTTCTCCAAAAGATATACAAATGATCAATGGGCACATGAAAAGATACTCAACGTCATTATTCATTAGGGAAACACCAATCAAATCTACACTGAGATACCACTACACACTCACTAAAACAGTTTTAGTTATTAACAAGACAAACAATAACGAGTATTGACAAGGAAGGGGAGAAACTGGAACCCTCAGGCATTGTTGGTGGGAATATAAAATGGTGCAGCTATTTTGCATAACAGCTTGAAAGTTCCTCAAAATGTTAGACATATCTTTACCAGATGATGCAGCAATTCCAGCTGCTAGGTGTATATCCAAGAGAAATGAAAATACATTTCCATTTTCAAAAAAGCATGTATACAAATGTTCATAGCAGCATTATTTTTTTTCATATTTATTTATTTATTTATTTAGGCTGTGCCGGGTCTTAGCTGTGGCACGTGGGATCTTCGTTGAGGCATGCAGGATCTTTAGTTGTAACATGTGGGCTTCTTAGTTGCGGCATGCGGGATCTAGTTCCCCAACCAGAGATCGAACCCGGGCCCCCTGTACTGGGAGCGTGGAGTCTTACCCACTGGACCACCAGGGAAGTCCCAGCAGCATTATTCTTAATAGCCAAAATGTGGAAACAACTCAAATGTCCAACAACTGACGAGTAGATATATAAAATGTGGTATAGGGACTTCCCTGGTTTTCCAGTGGCTAAGACTCCACATTCCCAATGCAGGGGGGCCGGGTGTGATCTCTGGTCAGGGAACTAGATCCCACATGCTGCAACTAAGAGCTTGCATGCCGCTACAAAGATCCTGCATGCCACAACTAAGACCCAGTGCAGCCAAATAAATTTAGGAAAAAATAAATAAAAAATAAAATAAAATGTGGTATATCCATACAAAAATATTATTTGGCAATAAAAAGGAATAAATTATGAAGTAATGATCCACGTTACAATGTGCAAAAACCTTGAAGACATTGTGCTAAGTGAAAGAAGCCAGTCACAAAAAACCATATATGGTATCATCCCATTCATATGAAATGCCCCAAATAGGCAAACCTATAGAGGCAGACAGTAGATTAGCAGTTGCCTAATTGGGGGGTGGTTTGAGGGGAAGGGAGAAGAAGGTAGAGGTTAGGGGGATTGACTACTAATGGGTATGAGGTTTCTTTTGGGGGGTGATGGAAATGTTACAAATTTTATTGTAATAATGGTTGCACAAATCTGAATATACTAAAAACCATTAAATTGTACACCTTAAATGGGTAAATTGAATGGTATGTGAATTATCTCAGTGAAGCTATTTAAAATAAAGCTATCAGGAAATTCTGAAGGGATCACTGACTCTGAGTCTCACTGTGGGGTGATCCAGGTGGGCTGCTTGTTGGGAGCCCCTAATATCAGCATCTTTTAGGTTGCATTCACCAGGAAAGAGGCTTATACCATCACCTGGAGAGTGAGGTTCTGCCTGACAATGTTCTGGGAGCTCTTAAAAATAATTTTTTTTTTAATTTAGACATGAATTAGAAGTTTTTCTCAGACAATACAGTTTTGGTACTAGTTTTTCCTGCCAGAATAACTGAAAATACTTTCCAGAGATCACGAGGAAGGGAATTGACATTTACTAAGCCTCTAGGCACTTCCCATTCTCTAGTGCAGTCTGTGGGATGACATTACGTTAATATTCTCATTTTTACAGATGAGGAAACCAAGGTTCAGAAAGTAACAGAGCTAGAAAGAGGTGAAGCTCTGATGTCTGAATCCAGTGCCAAGCTCTGCTCACTTTACTACAGCTGCCTTTGCTTTGGTTAGCCTCCGTTCAAAAAGATCCTTCTCACCTTTCTTCTATGAAAGAGTGCCATTGAAACAGTTCTTCTCATCCATTCATATGAACCATGGCTCTCTGACAAATATCATGAGAAGTGAAATCAGGGTTATATGGCAGGAAAATACCCCTTTCCTCTTTGAGGGACAAAGATCATGTCTCACATTCTTTACATGTTCAACAACCCCTAGTACAAAAATCTATACTAGTTCTGGTTCCCCAAAAAATATCAAAGTATTTTACCTTGTAGATGGTAGTTGTCTTTAAAATAATTCCCAAATCTGTGGTATTTTTTAAAGGAAAAATCATGGAAGAGCTGGCACACTTACCTCTGGCATCTGTTTTATCCGACTCACTGAGACCTATATCATCCTTGGCATCAGTGCTTCCCTCAACACCATGTCTTATGAAAAACTTAATATCATTTTCATCAACTTCACTCTCATCATCTGTATCATATTTCTGTAGTCCTTCCAATAGCTTTACTGCTGCTAAATGGGCAAACCTGTAGAAAAGAATTAGTAATTACAAGATCCACAATCTTTTTCAAATTGAAATAGCAGTTTGCATTTAATTTAGGGAATTACACTCTACATTATCCCACCAACTCACGCACCAGTGAAGAACGAAAACTGTATCTGAAGGTCAGTGACAATTTGATGCATATCCAGCAATGCGGGGAATTCAAACAGTTAGTGGAAACTAAGGACAAGCAGTCATATTAAAGAATGATTCCAGAATTTTTTTTTTTGGCCACGCCGCGGGGCTTGTGGGATCTTAGGTGCCTGACCAGGGATTGAACCCGGGCCCTTGGCAGTGAAAGCGAGGAGTCCTAACTACTGGACTGCCTGGGAATTCCCAGATTCCATTTTTTAGTGGCAAAAATCCAACTGAAAGAAGTGACCCAATATCAAAAGAATATTTGGTGTGTCCCCAAACGGAGCTGCTCAACTGAGTAGAAAGCCCGGAACCACCCTACTTGATTTACCTGTATTTACTACCTTTTCCTGATGGCCTAATTTAGATCATAGAATTAGTTCTGGTTCCAGAGGGAAAACTATAGCTCTAGCCCCCTTAATCTTCATCCTTCCTCAACCCTCAAAGCACTCAGCATGGCTTTGAAATTTAATGGAAAAATAATGACTTTCATATCCACATTTCTTATTTTCTTTGAGCTTTCCCACATCTCTATGAAGCTTCTAATAATATACCCTTGGTTTTCAAGTTGTTGTTGTGATTGCATGTAATCTGCATTATTTTTCCCACAGTTTTGCTAATTAAAATGTTCAATGCTGGGACTTCCCTGGTGGTGCAGTGGTTGAGAGTCCGCCTGCCAATGCAGGGGACACGGATTTGAGCCCTGGTCTGGGAAGATCCCACATGCCACGGAGCAACTAAGTCCGTGCGCCACAGCAACTGAGCCTGCGCTCTAGAGCCCGCAAGCCATAACTACTGAGCCCGTGTGCCACAACCGCTGAAGCCTGTGCGCATAGAGGCCGTGCTCTGCAGCAAAATAAGCCACCGCAGTGAGAAGCCCGCATACCGCAACTAGAGAAAGCCCGCGCACAGCAACAAAAACCCAACCTAAGCAAAAATAAATAAATTAATTAATTTTTTTAAAAAAAATGTTCAGTGCTTTCTCTTAGGACATGGAGAATTACTCGCTAAACATAAAAACCTCAAATTTTATTTTGTTCACACACTTCCATAACCATGTGCACATGCACACATATATCTTTACCTTTCACCAGGTACTGCAAATCATTAACAATATAGTAATAAACATAGGAAGTTGTACGGTTAATAGAATTCATTATCTCTATTACTAGATTGTCACTTCACAGCTATCATTTACTGAGTACTTGCTTTACGCCAGATTCAAGGTTGTTTCTATAACACTACACTCACACTAGCACTTTGGTGCATGAATGACAAAGAAATGTGGGTCAGAAATTATGAATATATTCAGATACAGTACTAAATCACCCATGTAATACTGATATAAAGACAGACAAATACATCAATGGATAAAATACAGACTATGGAAATAAGCCCACGCATACATGGACACCTGACGTGGACAAAGACACAAAGGCAATAGAAGAAAAAGGACAGCTTTTTCAACAAATGGTGCTAGAACAATTAGATATCCATATGCAAAAAAAAGAACTTGGATACATACCTCATACCACATACAAAAATTAACTCAAAATGGATCACAGACCTTAATGTAAAACCTAAAACTGTATCTATAACAATGTCTAAAAGAAAACATAAAAGAAAATCTTTGTGACTTGGTATAAATCAGAGATTTCTTAGATATGATACCAAAAGCATAACCCATAAAAGAGCAAATTGATAAAAAATTTTGCTCTTCATTGTTAAGAGAATGAAAAAACAAACCACAACTGGGAGAAAATCTTCACAAAACAAAAAGCTGAGAAAGAACTAGTATCCAGAATATAGAAAGAGTTCTTAAAACTCAACAATAAGAAAACCACCCAAGTTTTAAAAGTGGATAAAAGATCTGAACAGTCACTTCACCAAAGGAAAACGTACAAATGGCAAATATGTATATGAAAAGATGCCCCAAATCATTTTCCATTAGGAAAAAACAAAAAACACAATGAGACACCACTACACACCTACTGGAATTACGAAAATCAAAAACTCTGACAAAATCAAATGCTGGCAAGGTAAGAAGCAACAGAAACACTCATCCACTGCTGATGGAATGCAAATTGGTGTGGTCACTTTGGAAGGCACTGTGGCAGTTTCTTATAAAGATAAACACACCCTCTTAGCATCTGACTCAGCAATCCTACTCCTACATATTACTCAAGTGAACTGAAAACTTATGTTCACACAAAAATCTGTATCTGAATGTTTATAGCAGCTTTATTCATAATCACCAAAAAGTAGATACAAACAAGATATCCTTCAACAGATTAGGGGATAAGCAAACTATGGAATACTATGGAATTCCACAGTCAATGGAATACTACTCAGCAATAAGAGATGAACCACTAATACACATGAATGATTTTCAAAATAATTATGCTGAGTGGAAAAAGCCAAATATATAAGAGTACATACTGTATGATTCCATTTATATAAAATTCTAGCAAATGCAAACTAATCTATAGTGACAGAAAGCAAATTAGTGTCTGTTTGGGGATGGGGCAGTGGAAAGCAGTAGGAGGGAGAGATTACAAAGGTGCACAAGGAGATTTTAGGGGGTGATGGATATGTTCACTATCTTGATTGTGGTGATGATTTCACAGGTATATACATATATCAGAATTCATCAGTTTGTGCTGTACAAATATGTGTACTTTACTATATGCCAATTATACCTTGATAAAGCTATTTTAAAAAATAAAAAATAGTGGGCCTGAGTTGATAATGATGCTACTATGTGGTAAAACAAAACCATATTCCATGGCTTCAAAGAGATCCCACAGACAAAATTTTAAGGAACATGAACTCACAAACAAAAATTGCATGGCAATTTAATGAATAATTAGGCCCTTGCATCCCGTCAAGCCTCATGTGCAACTTTTAGCCCACACTCCTACTTTAGATTCAAGCAGTTCTGAACCACATGCGTTCCTCAGACACACAAGGTGTTATCTTAAAACTCTTCCTCCTTCAAGTGTCAGCATAAATGTTGCTTTCTCCAAAAAAAAGTTTTCCCAGACTTCTATATAAATTCTGTCCCCCGCAGTTGCCTTCATAACTCTTACCATCATCTGTATTAACATTTCTCCCCCACAACTTTAGAATAGGAATACTTGGGCACTTTTTCTTCTGTGCTCTTACTGCACCTTATACATGACATGTAATACGACATACTGATTATAATCAATAAAAGTTATGTTTGCACATTTGTCTCTCCACAAGACTGTAAGTTTCTTGAGGGCAAGGACTATTTTTTTTCATCTTGGTAAACTTAATGCTAACCATAGCACTTGGAGCATGGTAAGTATACAGGAGGTTGAATGAAAAAACAATCAAATGAACAAATGGATGAACTAAATATTCTGTGAGGGCCTGACCTGAATGAGCTAGAGGTGTTCAATAATAGGTGTTACATTTAATTCAAATATAAATATTAAAATTTGTTTCAAAATCCATGTGACTCCTTTTGATTACTCCTTTTTATCACACAGCATTTCTCAACAGGTACCAGCATTTGGGTGGGACAATTCTTTGTTGTACACTACTGTTCTGAGCACTGTAGAATGTCTGGCATTCCTGGACCTGACCTCATGAAACATTAGTGATGGTCTCCATCACTGTGACAACCCCCTCCCCACATTTCCAAATGCACACCCCCCAAGAAGGGGGACTACTACCTCCCAGCTGAGAATCACTGCTTTAGAGAGAAGAGCTGATATGTTGTCAAATGTTAATTCAGCTTGAAAATTATCATTCCATCAGCATTTGACTGAGTCCTATAATCCAGAAATCTTCAGAGATTTCTGAGTATAGGAGAGTAAATGCAAAACTTTAAAAACAAAAGAAAGAAGCAAAGCAGATAGGGATACCTCTTAGCCACATCACTGGGTTTCTCTCTTGCTTTGTTGGTAATATTACTGTCTGCTCCCATTTTAATTAGCCACTGCAAACACTCTATGTGGCCTTGCCCAGCAGCTGTAAAAACAAAACAAAATGTACACACAAAAAAGTTACTGTTATTAGAACAATTTTCTAAAATTTTGGACAGTACCACTGCAGAGTATTTTTGTAAATACTAATCCTTACAATAACCAGCAGAAATAGGTTGGCCAGATGTTATTTTCTCTATTTCATTTATTCATTCATTAGACAAATATTTAATCAAGTATCTGCTGTACTCAGGCCCTATGCAGAGAGCTTTACATACAGATATAGATGTTGAAGCTCAAAGAGGCTATTTAACATCATACAGCCAGTAAGTAATGGATTTGAAACTATAATCTAGGTTTTTTCTAATCCTTATCCAGTGTTCATCTACTGTATTCATAGCTCCTGACCAATCTTGTACCAGGCCAAATGTAAGTGCAATCTGTGTGAATGTGAAACACTTTGAAAATCTTTTGCCATCTTGTATAAATAGCTTATTCCTCTGACCCTCATAACTCAAAATGTTCAGGGCCCCTCACTGATTACCTAAACTGTTCACCACCTTTCTTTAAAACACATGCACTCAATATTAATTTTCACCTCCACAACTCTGCTTGTGTGTCTTCTTACCTAGTGCCCATCACTCAATCATATGATCATCTAATTTCTCCCCTCCTTCTAGGTCCATCTCAAAATGCAGGGAAACTGTTGGGGGGAAACTCAGTCTAAAAAGATCTGAGTTTAGGTCCACTAAACAACAGATTGGAGGACAGGACAGAACTTAGCAAGTGGCTGGCATATAAAGACACTCAATAAATGTCTATAGAGTTGATGAATAAATGAATGGAAAAAAATGAATGAAACCTCAGCTTTGCTCTTACTAGCTGTGTAACCTCAGTCAAGAAACCAGAGGGGGGACTTCCCTGGTGGCGCAGTGGTTAAGAATCCGCCTGCCAATGCAGGGGACATGGGTCCGAGCCCTGGTCCGGGAAGATCCCACATGCCGTGGAGCAACTAAGCCCATGTGCCACAACTACTGAAGCCCGTGTGCTTAGAGCCTGTGCTCTGCAACAAGAGAAGCCACTGCAATGAGAAGCCCGCGAACCACAACAAAGAGTAGCCCCTGCTCGCCCCAACTAGAGAAAGCCAGTGTGCAGCAGCAAAGACCCAACACAGCCAAAAATAAATAATAAATAATTTTTTAAATAAATAAATAAAAAATAAAAGCTAAATAACTCAACAGCAATTGTGTCAGAACTGAAGATGAAGCAGGAATCATAACTTACCTTTATGCATAAGAGTTGATCCATTATTATCACGTTCATTAATATTGATTACTCCATCTTCTATTAATTTCTTAAGCATTTCCAAATCACCCTTAAAGGCAGCCACATGACCTGGAAATGCTAAAGCTATGAATTAAAAATTCAGCATTTCAGGAAACATAGGAATTCGTTCCTTTTCCCTGCCTTAATCAGTCACACATTTCAGGTTTCAGTATTAACTCAACTATGAGAATGTTACATTGGAATTAGTTCAGTTGATGCAATGACAAGTAATAGAAAGAGAATCATAAAATAAGATTATTATTAACAGTGTAGCCTTTCCATCCCTCAGGATCTCAAACATGCCAGGAATATATGGTACCAGAACTATTCTTGCCATCTTCCCTGTTTCTCTCAGGCCACCACAAAACACAAGGAGATGGTCATTTTCAACCCTTTGTATAAAGACATACTTGGTCTCAAGTCCTACATTTGCACAGACCACTCCCTCCCTGTTTACAAGTGAAGAAAGCAAAAGAAACTGGAAGGAGATAAAGTATATGTGTGTATCTATACATAAACATAGGCATAGACAGGTGTGAATACACCTGACCTAGTGCCTAGCACATAGTAAATACTTAATAAAATGTTTTTAATGATAACAATGAGATATACTGAGCCCTTACTGAATGCCAAGCATGGTAGCAAACACTTGTAAGGATTGCCTCATTTAACCCTCTCAACAACCCTGAGGTAGCTATTCTCATTTCTGTATATGGAAAGGAAACAACCTAGAATACCCAAGGAGTATTTTAAAAAGGACAAAGTTGGAGACTTATAATACCTGACTGTAAGTCTTACTATAAAGCTACAGTAATCAAAACTGTGTAGTACTGGGATTCCCTGGTGGTGCAGTGGTTAAGAATCTGCCTGCCAATGCAGGGGACATGGGCTTGAGCCCTGGTCCGGGAAGATCCCACACGCCGCAGAGCAACTAAGCCAGTGCGCCACAACTACTGAGCCTGCGCTCTAGAACCCATGAACCACAACTACTGAAGCCTGTGCACCTAGAGCCTGTGCTCCGCAACAAGAGAAGCCACTGCAATGAGAAGCCCGCGCACCGCAACCAACAGTAGGATAGCCCCCGCTCACCGCAACCAGAGAAAGCCCCCGTGCAGCAACGAAGACCCAATGCAACCAAAAATAAAATAAATAAATTTATTTAAAAAAAAAGAGAGACACGAGAGCTTGCTTCCTCTCTTTAAAAAAAAAAAAAAACACTTTGTAGTACAGGCAAAGAGACCTACCAATAAGACAGAATGCATAAACAAAATACGCATCCATACAATGGAATACTATTCAGCAATAAAGAGTAACGAACTACTAATATACACAACACAAATGAATCTCAAAAGATTAGAGAAACCCATTAGAAATCCATTTCCATTAGAAAACCCAAACTAATCTATAGTGACAGAAAACAAATCAGTGGCTGTGTGCGGCCAGGGTGAAAAGAGGGATGAACTACAAGAGGGTATGAAAAAACATTTGAGATGAACTGCATACTTTAAATAAATACAGTTTATTTTATGTAAATCATACTTTAATAAAGTTGCTTTTTTTAAACAAGGATATCATTTGTGAAAAAACAAGCCACAGTGTGAGAGAAAAAATCTATATCAGATAAAATAAATAAATGATTGGTATCAGAACTATATAAAACAGCTCAAATTATTTAGAAAAGGACAAAGAACACAATTTTACAGGCAATTCAATAGAAAACTAGAATAGCCAATAACTTTACTAAACAATGTTCAGCCTCATTAGTAATCAAAAAAATGCAAATAAAAACACAAGTTAAACCTCTTCATACCCAACTAAGTGGCAAAAATTTTTATGTCTGACAATACTGAATATTGTTTCTCTAAATTCTCACCAAACATTGCTGATGAGAGTGTAAATTACTACAACCACTCTGATAAAGAATGCAGCATTTATAACTATTTATACTGAAAATGGGCATATCCCAACAAGCAAAACCTAAAGTAGAGTTTCCCAACTATTTACCAAGGCAGTGCTCTTAACTCTCAATCTTCAGAGAAGATAGGCAGTACCTCAAGAAGCCTCATCCAACAGTACCAGTATGCTATACAAATATCATTTTCTATGTGGGCAAAGTGTGAAAAGGGTAGGGAAGCACTTCTCTAAAGAACATCCTGGGGCTTCCCTGGTGGCGCAGTGGTTGAGAGTCTGCCTGCCGATGTAGGAGACATGGGTTCGTGCCTCGGTCCAGGAAGATCCCACATGCCGCGGAGTGGCTGGGCCCGTGAGCCATGGCCGCTGAGCCTGCGCGTCTGGAGCCTGTGCTCCGCAACGGGAGAGGCCACAATAGTGAGGCCCATGCACCGCAAAAAAAAAAAAAAAAAAAAAAAAAAAGAACATCCTGTGCATGTAAACAAGGACACATACAAGAATATCAATTACCACCTTGATTGTAATTCTGAAAACTGTAAACAATCTAAATGTCAAATCAGAGAATGGATAAACAGTGTTTTTTATTAAATGCAATACCACAAACAATTTAAAAGAATAAACTAGAATACATCTATCTGTCTAATAAACCTCAAAAATCATAACATTTTGTGAAAAAAGAAAGTTAGAGAGGAGTATACATTACTATTTCATGCCATTTTTATAAAGTTTTAAAAGAAGTTTCAAAGACTTCTAGTTGTCCACTAAAATCCCCTTCCTTCCACAGTAACAAGAGCTGCATCTGAGCTGAGGCCTCTCAGCTGGGTACTAAATTATCCAGGCTTCCTTGCAGCTGGGTGTGGCCATGTGACTAAACTCTTGCCAAGAGAATGTTAGCAAAAGTGATGACTGCAAATTAGATCTTAAAAATCCTAGCTTAGGGCTTCCCTGGTGGCAAAGTGGTTGAGAGTCTGCCTGCCGATGCAGGGGACACAGGTTCGTGCCCCGGTCCGGGAAGATCCCACATGCCACGGAGCGGCTGGGCCCGTGAGCCATGGCTGCTGAGCCTGCGCGTCCGGAGCCTGTGCTCCGCAAGGGGAGAGGCCACAACAGTGAGAGGCCCGCGTACCGCAAAAAAAAAAAAAAAGAATCCTAGCTTATACTCTTGTTCTCTCCCCACCTCCTGCTGGATTAGCAACAACTAGAGAGAGCTAGTTAGGAAGATAACAGGTCCCTGAATGACTACATAGAACAGATGCACTCTCCAACCAGGGCTATTATATAAAAGAAATAAACTTCTATATAATTTAAGCTGCTGAATTTTAGGATTTCTTATTAGATATAACAGTTTAGTCTCTTAAACTAAAAATACACAAAATGATACTGCAAATTTTTGTGAGTATATATATACTAAATATAAAACCTTAGAATGGAATCATAAATCCAAAATAATGGTTACCTCTGAGGGAGAAAAGGAAATGAATGGTATTAAGGAGAGAGAACCAGGAAGCTTCAAGTGTATCTTATCTATAATATTTTATTCTTAAATCTAGTGGTATAAAGAGTGTTCATTGAAGACTCTCAAGATGGCAGAGGAGTAAGATGTGGAGATCACCTTCCTCCCCACAAATACATCAAAAATACATCTACATGTGGAACAACTCCTACAGAGCACCTACTGAACTCTGGCAGAAGACCTCAGACTTCCTAAAAGGCAAGACACTTCCCACATACGTGGGTAGGGCAAAAGAAAAAACAGAGACAAAAGAATAGGGCCGGGACCTGCACCAGTGGGAGGGAGCTGTGAAGGAGGAAAAGTTTCCACACACCAGGAAGCCCCTTCACTGGCGGAGACGGGGGGTGGGTGGGGAGGAAGCTTCGGAGCCATGGAGGAGAGCACAGCAACAGGGGTGTGGAGGGCAAAGTGGAGAGATTCCTGCACAGAGGATCGGTGCTGACCAGCACTCACCAGCCCGAGAGGCTTGTCTGCTCACCCGCCGGGGCGGGTGCAGGCTGGGAGCTGAGGCTCCGGCTTTGGTCAGATCCCAGGGAGAGGACTGGGGTTGGCGGCGTGAACACTGCCTGAAGGGGGCTAGTGCTCCACAGCTAGCCAGGAGGGAGTCCAGGAAAAAGCCTGGACCTGCCTAAGAGGCAAGAGACCATTGTTTCAGGGTGCGTGAGGAGAGGGGATTCAGAGCACCACCAAAACGAGCTCCAGAGGCGGGCGCAAGCCGTGTCTATCACAGCGGACACCAGAGATGGGCATGAAACGCTAAGGCTGCTGCTGCAGCCACCAAGATGCCTGTGTGCAAGCACAGGTCACTATCCACAGCTTCCCTCCCGGGAGCCTGTGCAGCCCGCTACTGCCAGGGTCCTCTGATCCAGGGACAACTTCCCTGGGATAACACATTGCAACGTCACGCCAGCCTCTGCCGCAGCAGACTCGCCCTGCATTCCCCTCCCTCTCCCTGGCCTGAGTGAGCCAGAGCCCCCTAATCAGTGGCACCTTTAACCCCCTCCTGTCTGGGTGGGGAACAGACGCCCTCAGGCGACCTACACACAGACGCAGGGCCAAATCCAAAGCTGAACCCCAGGAGCTGTGCCAACAAAGAGAAAGCGAAATTTCTCCCAGCAGCCTCAGGAGCAGTGGATTAAATCTCCACAATCAACGTGATGTACCCTGCATCTGTGGAATACCTGAATAAACAACGAATTATCCCAAAATTGAGACGGTGGACTTTGGGAACAACTGTAGATTTGGGGTGTGCTTTCTGCAACTAATTTCTTTCTGGTTTTATGTTTATCTTAGTTTAGTATTTAGAGCTTATTATTACTGGTAGATTTGTTTATTGATTTGATTGCTCTCTTTTTTTTTTTTTGTGGTACGCGGGCCTCTCACTGTTGTGGCCTCTGCCGTTGCGGAGCACAGGCTCCGGACGCGCAGGCTCAGCGGCCATGGCTCACGGGCCGAGCTGCTCCGTGGCATGTGGGATCTTCCCGGACCGGGGCACGAACCCGTGTCCCCTGCATCGGCAGGCGGACTCTCTACCACTGCGCCACCAGGGAAGCCATCTTTTTTTTAATATATATATATTTTATTTTCTCTTTTTGTGAGTGTGTATGCTTCTTCATGTGATTTTGTCTGTGTAGCTTTGCTTTTGCCATTTGTCCTAGGG